CTCACTCCCTCACCAACCTGGCTGCCTCCTCCACTACCTCCTTCCCTTATCCCTGACCTAAGAGTGGCAGAATCTTCGCTCCCATTGCAAAGAACATCGTACAAGAGGTGGTGTCAATATTGCTCCACATGTGGTGGGCTGCTGCCTCTTGTCAGAGTTTTCTTCTCGCGGGCGTCCGTCAGCGCGTCCCACGATTTCCTCCATCACAACCATGGCACCAGCACCACCTCAACTGGGGATTGCTGGGTGTCGTGAGATTCCCTGCGATCAGGGCTATCGTTCGCTATCGTTTTCAGTGTATTTATATAAAAGTAAAGACCTTTTGATGTATGATTAATGACTAAATAATTATATTTATTAAATTATAATCATATCTGACAGTTAAATTATATTCAGATATTATATACACAGCATTTTTACTAATATAGAAAAATATTATATCTATTTTTTAAAATATGAAAAACTTTTTTTCATATCATACAATATTTAAAAGAAATGAGTGATTTTGATATTTTATATAAAGATTTCAAAAATGAGAGAAATGAATTCCTCAACACATTATATTTACTGATAAATTATACAGATTTGAATTGAGTAGAATTGTTAAATAATAAATATAACTTTATTTTAAACTTCATATTCAAATTAACAGATACATCAATTTCATGATAATTTTTTAAACAATTTTATATTTTTTTAAATTCAAATAAAGTAGAATACATAGCACTTAATAAAAAAGTATACAAAATAATATAATTGTGTAATATAATGATGAAATTAAAATTCATTACAGTATTAATTCGGTTTGCGTCGCCCCGGCCGCTTCGCGCCCGCCGCCGCCCCCCATCCGGCATGGCCTCGCCCGTTCGGGTCTGGCGTCGTCCGTTCCGGGTTTAGCCTCCCTGTCGCCGCGTCGCTGTGACGTCGCGGTCGTCGGGCCCGTCTGACGCATATATAAACCTCCTCCGACTCCCTCTTTCTTCCACGCCCTCTCTCTTCCTTTTCACTTCTCATGTCCTCTGCCCCCACCGGCATAGCCCCTTCCCTTCCCTCACCCCTCCCCCCCCCTCCCCCGGTGCTAATGGCGCCACATCGCACCCCCATTCTTCCTTCTCACCCGCCTCATTGGCTCGCTACCGACCGCCGATGATGCTGGTGCTGCCGTCGCATCGCTTCGCTCCGCTCCAGCGCCTGGGCCGGGGCCTACATGGAGGGATCTGCTGTGCTGTGTGCTGTGCTGTACTGATTCTTTTTGGCTGATGGCCGAGCAGGCAAGCACCTGCGCCGCGAGCCCGTTTACCCTCCGTTTCGCCTCTTGTCCGTTCTCGTGAAAATCACCGGGAAGAGGTCCCTTGGACACCTGTCTCCTCCGACAGCCATGTGTGCTGCGTGGTTTCTCATTCCATCTGTCGACCCGGGATGATCCAGACGAGCTGCGCCTCCGTACCGGAAATTACCCGTCCGAGAACAACGTCCCCCATCCCCACTTCTGTGACGTGTTTCTTTCCCTGTGCTCGAACTGCAGCTCGTGATGGAAAAAACGCCTTGGATACTCGCTCCACCTCCATGCTAGGTTTGCGCAGGATCGACATGCGTTTCATTCCCCTCGCTTGGGCCGGCGGCCAATGGCGAAAATCCCTCACCCCAACGGACGCAGGCAGTGAGCACCAGGCCTCTCTTACGTGGCACCCAGTGCGTATGCACGTCGGCCGGTTTTCCTGCATGTGGTAGCCTCGTCTGTTCTGGATCCCACCATCCCACCACCATCCCACCACCAACCCATCAACTCGGCGAATCAGAGAGGGACGATTGGGGGGCGTTTGCAGCGTAAGGGAGGTCGCCTCGATCGCAGCTATCTCCGCGGCGACATGGAGCTGCGCCTCCTGCTTCCCGTTTAGATTGCTCCGACCCCGGCGACGACTGTGACGCTCGTTTGGCCCGAACCAGGGGGATCCTGCTATGGTTCGCATCTCCGGCTCTTCCGGAGAAACCTGGCGAATCCACGAGAGGAGAGGGGTAATTTCTGCAACAGTGGCTTCCTATCCGATAGTCGAATTTCCAAATCCCTGCGCGACTCAGCCGCTCCAATGCAACGATGGTTGGCGCACGGGAGGGGGAAACAAAAAATAATGATCAAAAATGCAGGGATGAAGACCGGGTCTTGCGGGGGCCGCGCTCCCTCCCGGCGGTTTCTCCGGAGGCAGATTCGAATTTTTTCTGCACGCGAATCGGCCGTCTCGTACCTTCCATACGCACTCCAATGTCTGCCTTGCCGTGGGGCCGATAACTGTATCGGGAGGGTTACCTCGATCCGTGGCGAGGCACCACTGCCCAGCTGACGTGGCTTTGATAGAGAATACGTATAGCGCAAAATCGCATCAGGGAACAATTCAGCGAGCTCCGTTACTTTCTATCTTTGCTTTTTTCTCCCAGGGTGTGAATGATTCCTTGAGCGGGGGCAGGAGACGAGAGAAGATGAGGAGCTACTACTTGGTTTCGGTGTCGCCGATTCGTCCTTGCTGTGCTTGTAGCCGGGATCGCTGGAACTGAATTCTTCGCCCTTTCGCTGATGCGGAGAATGTACATAGAGTCTATATAAGGGGCCTGCTTTCCCCGTCTGTTTGGACGTGAGAGAACGAACAATATGCACTGTGGAGTTTAACCCTCGCCAGTGACGATTTCCCTTCCCTAATAACCATGGCCGTGGATATGGACTTCATCATCCCGTACTGCCCACTTCCCCCCAAGCCTCCCAAGCCTCTCCAGCCTCTCCCCACCAAGCCCTCTATTCGTGAACACCATCTTCTCCAGCTCACTCCTTTGACCCCAGCACAATTCATCATCCCTGAACCACTGTTAAACACCCATTCACCTCCCTGGCCCCCTTTTCACTTCCGTAGAGATAACCTAGGTGGCCTGGACAGCCAGATCGGCGTTCGAGCATCGAACGCTCCGTTGAATGAGTTCGATACTGAGCTGGAACGTCTGGACGTCGTGGAGGTGGTTGACATGAGCAGTCGCGGCTCCACCGACCAGAATGGTGTTGAGCCGTCCAGCGCCCGTGTCGCCGGCGTGATCCAACGTAGGCGCCCTTCATTCGAGTGAAAATCTCCTGGGCCATCTGCTGATCGAAGATACAATGTTTTCTCCAGGCTCAACCGCGCCAGACGTCAGGCCCCGCCGGGAAGCCTCAAGCGATAGATCTTCACAGAAGGTTGACCGATCATCACCTCAGAAAATCATCCCTCCTCTCTCCGCTAGCGATCACGATCCGGCGCTGGACGAGTGTGAACTGGAAGCCTCATGTCCTCCGCCTGGCCTGGCAGGTGTCTCTGACCCACACCCGTACAGTGTAGCGAAGTTACCGAGGTCAGTAGGATGCCAGGGTAAGTCAGCTCCCGCATCTTTCTTTTGATTTGTCTGTGGAGCTCCGCCTTCTGACACTTCCTTCGGCAGAACAACCGATCCTTGTGGACTTGGAGAGCGATGGAGAGAATCCTCCGAACGATGATGAATCCTGGAGGACTATTGGTCTCGATGTGCGCGCCGGTGCCACGGGCGGAGGGGTTGTGGGTACACCTTCCAGCCCGGGAGCCAAATCGGAGCCTGGAACTCCTGTCAACCCTGGAAAGCGCGCTGGGGAAGTGTGCAGGCCGATGGGGCGGGGACGCGTGCGACACACGGATGTTCGAGTCGAGATTCCTTCCCCGCCAGACGCTCTCCAGGAAAGAGAGGGCCGAGGCGACAGGAGCGACCCCAGCGACAACAGTGACTTCAATCACTCCAGCGACTGCAGCAGCGGCGACGACTACGAGGCGTATCGAGAAAGTGATGATGATGACCATGTCGCTAGGCGGCCACGCAAGCGGCGGAAACTCTGGATGCGGCGGTCCTCCAGGTCCGTCGTCACTTCTGCTGCTTGCACGGGAGATCCCTCTCCGGCTGCCGTGGTAGACGATAAGCCAGGGAAACGGAATCCGACGACGAAGCACAGTGAAACCCCGGCCGGTGATTCTTCCAGTGTGTCCACTGTTTCACTAGATGATGCAGTGACAAACCGCTCGGGCGACGACATACCAGTCTCCGGCTTTCTTTCAAGCTCCGTGGCCGGGTCCAGAGTGTGCTACACTATAACATTCTGTCACGAGGAGACCGGCCGGCTCCTGTCGGCGACTGCAAATGATCTGTCGAACTCCGGCCGAGAAGGGCGGCCGTCTGTCGCAACCGGTAGACGTGTGCCATTTACCTCAGAGGATGACGCGCTGCTGAACGTCGTCACTTCTGCTGCTTGCACGGGAGATCCCTCTCCGGCTGCCGTGGTAGACGATAAGCCAGGGTAAACAGAATCCGACGACGAAGCACAGTGAAAACTCGGCCGGTGATTCTTTTCAGTGTGTCCACTGTCTCACTAGATGATGCAGTGACAAACTGCTC